ATGGAGATAAGGGGGAGGAACAGGGGAAAGGAGGTGTAGAGGATGAAGAGGAAATGAGAGGACCTGTAGAAAGGGGTAGAGTCTGTCCAGAGGAGCTTACCTGAAATGAGTGGAGAAAAGGAGGTTTTGCTGGGGCAGGCATTGAAGAAGTGAGACCAGGAATAAATGTCTCAAACAGAGCAAAATGTGACCTCAGATTTATAGCCAGCAATGAGGAGGAAGGCCTTGATTGTGATTGGCATATGTAAGGTAGAGAACTATGAGGCTGCTTTGGAAGGGATTCTGATTCTGGGCTATTGAAGAAGGGTGTTGCAAGAGAAGGGTGGCTGCATCATGCAGTGGGGTCCTCTGCTGGTCTTGTCTGCATGGCCTTTGGCAGATCTGATGACATCTATGTCTTTTTCTCCATAGCCTCCTTCATCCAGGCTTCCCATGGTGCCTCCCACCTCCTGATCCAAAAATTCTGCATCATTTTTCCATCTCATAGAGGCATTTATAATGATATTAACATTGTTCTGCTCCAATGTGGGAAGGTAAGTAGGCCTTGCCAGGCCTGATGCTGAGTATTGCCTCTACAAGAACAGCAGCCATGGGAATTCTTTATGACCAATGCCCACCATTGGGGTCAGGCTTACAAGGAAACATTGATTATCATGGAGTTCTTGATGACAGCCCCTGGTGCAGTGTGAAGCACTGGTTGAGTTGTAGTGTCTCAACTCTTTTCCAGGACACCTTCCAGTTAGGGAACAGCTCACTGATTTGGAAACGGGAAATGAAATCGACAGGGAATCCAGGGTCCTAATATGTGTGAATCATGAACCTGAAGGTAAGACTGAGTACAGTAAGTATCTGTGTGTGGCAGAAGATAAGTCTCTGAAGTCTGGCCTTGATGTGCTGAAAAGGATCCCTTGAAGTAGCATGCGCCAGCATCCCTGACACACAGGGAAAGTTATCATTGACTTGCTCAACTGAAGAGCAATGGGAGACTGAGAGACTGCAGAGGTGTGACAAGGGAGGAACCAGCTTCTCTGTTACAGTTGACCTCCAGCTCCATCTGACCATCTGACCATCTGACCCTGGACTGTTAGCAAACACTGATGCAAACGAGAGTCTGTGGTTGGATCTTCCCAGTGGATGATGGCCAGCTTGTGCTGTCACTGACTTCTAGAACCCTGACCATCTGGTGAGTCCCAAGTGCAGATAACAAGATCAGTCAGTTTGTTCAGGAAGAGAGAGAAATTTTCAGTTTGTGGGTATCACCTGGTGTCAGACTGTGTTTCTGCTGCATATCAGTGAAGGCAGG